TCCTTTCAACTTTGAAAGGCAGGCAGATCCAAATATTTGCAGGCAAGTATTTCACATATCCGTGCTGTTTATTATTGTTTTGGTTTTTAGGTGCGCCACTTTACTGTTTCGGTTGACTCTCACAGTTCTCATCAGCACCATTTCCAGATCTACACTGCTCAAACTATTTAGGGAACACTTAATGGTCATAGTCTAACACCAAGTCAGTTAAAATTCAGGGATATCAATCTGCCCATTTAGGAAGCACGAGTGATTGTGAATCAGTTTCAGCTGCTTTGGTGCGAGTGAAAGTAACATCAGGTGCATGGAGAGGCAAAAGCAAGACAACCCCCAAAAAGGCAATGGTTTTACATGTGGAGGCCACAGACAGTTGCTCTCTCCTTATCCCTCCTGTTTCTCCCAGCGGCACAGTCTTAAGAGCATGGAGGAGACACCAGGAGACCGTCCGTTTTACAAGGAGTGCTGGACAGGGCTGTAGAAGAGCATCAACCCAGCAGCAGGACCGGTGTCTGCTCCTTTGTGTGAGGAGGAACAGGAGGAGCACTGCCAAAGCCCTACAGAATGACCTCCAGCAGGCTACTGGTGTGCATGTTTCTGACCAAACTGTCAGAAACAGACTCCATGAGGGTGGCATGAGGGCCAGATGTCCTCTAGAGGGAAATGTGCTCACAGCTTTGCACCATGAAGCTCAGCTGGTATTCAACAGAGAATACTAGAATTGGCAGGTCCGCCAAAGGTGCCTCTTTCTCTTCACAGATGAGAGCAGGTTCACACCGAGCACATGTGACAGGCGTGACAGAGTCTGGAGATGCAGAGGTGAACATTATGCTGCCTATAACGTCATCCAGCATGACCGGTTTGTCTGGAGTGCATTACAGGTAGGTGGGGGCCATACACACTACTGAGTCACATTATAAGTTGCCGTGATGTAATTCACACAAGTTGGATCAGTCTGTGATTTCAAATATTTAATTCATTGTCAGTGCAACTTTGAATCCAGCTCTCAGTGGGTTGATGATTTTGGTTTCCACTGACCGTTGTTACGTCATTTTGCACTGTACATCTGTAAAGATTTTCAACTTGAATAATTCATTCATCAGGATATGCACTACCTACCCAGCACCAAACAGCAGACACAGTTAGAAGCTAGCTGGTGAGCAAAAGGAGCGTTTAGCAGCTAAAGAGCTATTTTATCAAAAGATGGTGGGAACCAAAAGCAGAGCTAAAAGGAGTGTAAATATTAGACTTACATTTGTCAGGTGGTCACAAACACAACTCCAAATGAATGCCAATGTTGCTCCGTATCTGTTGCATGTGTAAATGGGCACCTGTTCGCTAACACATTGGCCATAGCAGTTCTAGCAGATGATATTATGTCAATGTTGAGTGGTTGCATCGCCCCCAAGAGGCCAAAAAAGCCATTAATGCAGCTTTAATAAACCTGAGACTAAATCTATATTTAAAAAAAACAAGCTTTCATTTCCTGTTGTATCAGACACCTGAATGCATGTTTAGATTTCCCTGCCTGCTCTGCATCATTCCCACAGTTATCCTCTTTCATGTATTCAAACTGGATCAAACTGCTGCTCCCTGGGAGGAATGTGTCATGGGATATGTACGCACCAAGGCTCTATCTTGTGCTAATGGAAGCAGCTGCTTTGAGTGGCCTATTTATGAACACTTCATGTGAGTCATGGAGTGCTCTCCAAATGTATTGGCTATAGTGCAGCTAGAAACACAACAGCACAGCTTCAGGTGAGTTGATGCTGTGAATGCGAGCTGGAAAATAATATAATTCATTATTCTGGTATGGCAGAGAAAGAGCTGCTGTCTAACAAAGCTGGAAATCAGAATCATTTTAATGTAGCATGGGACAAAATGAATGAAAACTATATTAATTTTGTTTGTGTGAAATTTTCAATACAAAGGAGCTTCATTATATCGTAAGGTTATCAGTTTCCTGTCACAAAGTCTACCTTCATCCCCAGATAATCTTACTAAGTGCTTTCAAGTCGCCTAATCCCTGCACTCATTTCATTTTTCATCTAGTTCTCTCGAGATTTGCTTTGGTGTGACATCAAAGAGGTGGCACTCCAAACACGCTGCATTTTTCTTTCAAGTAATGGGAGATAATAGTACAAGATTACTGCCAAAACTAATTTGTCCAAGTGCATTAGAATAACTGCCGAAACTTGGCAGCGGGCCTATTACATCAGAGGCACCGCTTTGAATTACACCTGCACACGGCAGATTGGTTTGCCGGAAAAGGTACTGCAAATCATAAATGAAAATGCAAACAGCACATTTTGCTTTGCTTTGTTTACGGCATGTAGGTGGTAATTTGTACGTCAGTGAAGGTCGTTGTTACCTCGTGAAGAGCTGTGAAAGTAAATGTATGAAAACTGAAAACAGCCTGACAGTGCTGCTGTTCAGTGGAAACAATGAAAAACCTGGCATGAGATACTGGACACACAGGATCAGGACCCTCCTGCTTGAACCTATCTGAATCATCACTTTATTTCCTCCCACCTTTTATGACACTTTTCATATGTTTCAGTTACCTCGCAACAGGGTCAACTCTGCTTGGCCATGTGACGCGCTGGGCAACTTGCAACACTGATGGGAAATCTGCTATATTTAGTTTGGGATATACTATGACATATCAAACTACAAGAAAATTTCCCAGCATGGCAGGTTGTACTGGGAGGTTCAGAGGAGGTGTCAAAGTTAACTAGGGTGAAAACAAAATATTTCAAATAAGTCTGAGTCTGTTTCTGTGAACAACCTTAATAAAAATCTTCATTTTAAACGTAATTTAAAGATTTAAAAGAGCAGAGGGTCTGATAGGCAACACGTGCAGAATCTCAAAGATGTGCAATATGATCTTTTGGTTTGTATTTACTTTTATACGATAGCTTTGATGCCAAATTTGTCACAGTCTGGAGCCATGCTGTCACGTCAGTCCACACAGGAAACAGTGTGACACCATCGGCTTATTCTGTCACCAACAAGATGATATTAATCAGACATGTGATATATTCCCTGCAGTTGCCATGAAAGGTCAAATCATTTTTTAATATGCTGTTAAAAGGGCACTTCAACAATTTAGTTAGAGACAGATCTGAAAAACATGTGAAAGGAGCTACAGTATAGGACATTCAGAGCATTAATACAGCAGCAAAGCGCTATGTAAATATGGAGTAATGGCATCCTGAGCAGAGAATGAAGTCATGCTACCTCTTTATGTTTTAATCCCAGGTTCTCTGTTGTTGTGGTCGTCGGTCTGGCAGCGCGTGCATGTGTGTCTATTCCACTGACTAGCTCATTACTGTTGTTCTGCATTGTACTGATACAGCTGTTACCACTGATAACACTGTCCCGACCCACAGTATCCTTGCAGAATTGTAGCAGCGGCCCCTGGTTCCTCCCCAAGGTTACTGCCATTAGCTCTGTCAGCACTTTTGCTTATGTTAGCACTGTTTATGGAGTTAGCATCGGTAGCTACCACTCTCCATGTTGACATCTGTGTCCAGACAGCCTGAATCATAGATATGCTCTGAATATCACATAGAGCTCCTTTAAAAGACTGCAAACTCTGTCTTTTAATCACAGGTGTCAAATTTCAAAACTATGGATCCTGTATGTCCCATATTGCAACTAAATAGCATCCCTCTTTGGACCTTTGCTGCCTGAATGTTCACGTCTTTCAAACCTCAGCCTCAAGTTTGTAAATCAGCCTCTCTCTCTCAGGCTAGCAATATCTTTTTCTCACAGTGTAACCTAGTTACTGAGCAAGTAACAGGGATAATTACACTGTGACCAAAATGTTTTTTGCTGGCGAGTGACAACAGCGAGGGGAAGGTGAGCATAATAGCTGCCAGTGGTAGATGTGGTTATAATGTAACTACAACATGATAAGAACCTAAGGGTAGGCAACCTGCAGCTCCAGAGCCACATGCGGCTCTTACACCCTCTCCAGTGACTCCCTGTGGCTTTGACATGAAATGAAATGAAACGAATAACTGTTCATCTTTAACATTCAGATTTTCATGTGTCATCATTTCCCTCCCTAAAGTGATTATTGCATTATACAACTGTAACTACTTGTACTTGTGTAGCGAAACAAAAAATGTTGTAACGTTTCATCAACTAAAATGTGCGTCATATGTCTGTGGTGCCTAAATTTTGCGGAACTCTTGTAGCGGTGGCTAACCTGAAGTCTCTCTAGCAAGGCTAGCTATGGATTCCAAATCCAAAAAGGAAAACAAAGGATTTAATAGTATGTGGACAGAATCATTTGTTTTCACCACCAGCACTGCAAAGTTAAAGTACTGAATAATTATAAATAGCCCACTGCAGACTAGCCACCTTGTAAATCACATTAATGAATGCTCATTTAGACCTATTCATAATGTTGATGGGCTAATTTAGACTCAATAGGCTGCTACTTTTATTCAAATATGTTACGCGGCTCCAGGCAGATTTTTTTTTTTTTTAGGCCAGTAATGGCCCTTTTTATTGTACAAGTTGCCGACCCCTGTCTTAACCTATGGGGGTAAACTTCTTTGGCTCACACCAAAGATGCACCACATTGTGCTTAACAATGCCCCTTAGCTGTTCTGAAATCACTGTAAACCACAGCACTTCACGGCTCGCTACTTAAACCTATAACAACACCGCAAGTGGAGAAACATAACAGTAACTAACTAAACTAAACTAAACCACTAATATCTAACTAAAGTTTGCTAACACTGGCCACCATAAGCCACTGGTCATAGCAGACCATGTGAGGCTACAGCAGCAAAACCCCTGACTGTGCTGACTAGAACAAGAATCATAAAACAAAATGAACCAAAGTCAGGTTTGTGTGTTCAGTAATTCTTCTTCTTCTAACATAATGTGCAGCAGAAAATAATGTAGAAATGAGTTCAGAGCAAAGGAGTTTGCTGTTACTGGTAAAGAGCATGAAAACATTGTAACATAATTATTAACAGAATTTGTTATTTTTATGGATAGGTATTTTAATTAAGTTATACACAGTTTACTGTCATCTAGCAATGATTTGAGCAAAAAACAACAGACAAAATAAATACTTTTCTCACATTGGGGTCACAGCCTAACAAAACTTGCTGTACACCCTGGATTCTCTAAACATGTATCAAAAGCTGCCAAAGAATCATAGACATTAAACACCAAAATGTACACGCTCACTTGATTTTATAATCCCTGATTGTCCATATGAAGAGCAGTAGACATGAGAGGAAGTGATGCACAGATTTAAGTAAACATGAGGCGAGTCATAGTCCTTTCATTGGCAGATGGTATCGTTTGAACCGACCACCTGAGCCCATCCAGACATCATCATCCACAGTTTTCTGTTCAACTGTCTTATTTCTCTTCTCCCCCTCTCTCCACTGTCACAGCACTAAAAGTCCATCTGGAACACAAACAGAAGTCTATTAAACACTCACATTAAAGAACATTTCTTCAGTTACGTATAGGAGTAGATAACCACAGGAGAAAAATTCTGGCAGTCATAAAATTTACTGTTATTTACACAGAATTATTAAACATTTTGTCTTGCATAACAATGCACGATTAGACTGTTCCACAGCTCTGTGTGAAAGTGTTCAATATTAAATAATTAAATTAGTATTAAAAAATAGTTAATAAATTGTGTAAAATATATAAATGAAGTAATCATTTCTGAAATAGTTTAAGAAGTTATTAAAATCCTGCTAATTATTATGAATTATTTCATCAATTTTCATTACATTTCATAATAATAAAGTTTATATGATAACAGAGTCCATTTTTTTTAATTTATTTATTTATTTATTTCAAAATGCCCTTTCTCAAAATTCTTTTTTTTATTTTATATTGGCATTTTTTTACAATTACAATTTTATTTCATGCCATTTTTTTTATTTTATAACATCACTTTTCATCATGACAAATTTTATTTTGTATTACATTTCATGACAGTGGTTTTGTCACTGCCCTCACACCTTTAAGCCAATCACACACACGTCCCTGCAAGCTCAACAGCTGCTACCAGGTTTAGCCAGTTAGCACCTGAGAAATGGCATTTAGAAATTAAAGTGTTGGTAATTAAATAGATTAAATAAATAAATACATAGTTGGCTCTATCCAATAAATTCTGTTATGAGAATAAATGATGAAATAACATTTCATCATAATGACTTCAGTTTTAACAATTTCACAAATTAAATCACTGTTTCACACATTGTTGGATCATGTCACACAATTTATTGACATGATTATTCCTTTAATGGTGTCCTTTTTTAATGGGGAGATTATATAAAAAATATTTTTATTCTCTGTATAATTAAGCACTCAACAGAACTTGCACTGAGTTGACATAGGGAACTAAAACTTTTATTAAGATCTTTTTCTTTTTTTACAATAAATATGCAGAGGTATCATATTCTCTTGACAGTGACATTGTGAATTTCAAAACCATCACAATTAACACCTTGAAACAACTCAGGTGTGTGTACATGTACGGATAATCATTCTCAAACTGCTCAACCAGAGGAGTGTGTCTTACAGTGGTAAAATGAACGATGCAGGAGACAGCGATGATGACAAGGCCGATAATGATGGAGGCAACAGCGACATAGAGAGCGTTCCTGCCCAGGCGCCTCGACCCATCATAGTCACCCTGATAATAGCTGTTCCTAGACTGAGAATGAGAAATCACTGTGACACATAAAACTCCATCAAGACATGTGAGTATTTACTATAAAGACTGTGACACAAACCTGCTGAGCATTTGATCAGCCCCAGAAATGAAAAAGCCAATTTTGGTAACTTTAAAATGTCATCTGAAGCTCTCTTTATGCTACCTGGTCACATGGTTTGAACGTTAAATAGTGTACCTTTCAGATGTTGGCATGCCTGTTAACAAGACGACCAGTGTGGAAACATCAGACAGTGCTGACAGTCTCGTTTGTAGTTTGGTCATTAACTGCATGTTTATATCATCAGTTTCCAACATGGAAATTTTGTGTCATTTTCCAAAATGGAGGATCAAGCAAGTTTGTTTGACGGGCAGAGCAGGTGTGTGTGTGACTGTGTTGTAACGTGTCCAACACATCCACTCACATGTCGGAACACTGTGTAACTGAAACACAAACATCCTGAGGAGAGAACAGATTTCTAATCTCTCTAACACCTTAATGACACACAGCAGTACATCTGCATACTGTTAGATTATATTTATTTAGAAAAGGCCGTGCCTACCATTATAGAGAAGACCAATGCCACAATGTTGACAGGGTATGCAGGACAAAAGCAGGTGAAAATAGTCAAACAAAGGTAGCTGCGGAGTGGAGGCGGAGGTTCCTGTTCCGCTATAGAACCGCGGTCGAAAAATACACTCCCACTCAGGGAATTTTTAACTTGCGAATTAAGCACTCCAAGAGCCATTGTACCTGACAGAAATGAAACACAGTCAGGGGGGTGAAAAACACCCAAATTAGAAACGGTGAAAAGATACAAACCGGAAGCCGGAAAATGAGCACAAAGGACTAAAAATCCAACTTCAGGAACTGGAGTCCAATTTCTAACCAAAATATGTTTGAAATCAGAAGGTCAAAGTGTCGTTGAAAAGTCTGAAAAGTTGTGTGGTGGCTGTACTCCTCTTTCAAAGCTGGGAAAAAACGAAGTTTGTGGGGTGAGAGGGAGCAGGAGAGAGGTGGGAGAGGATCACTAACCCTGCTGGCCTCCATCCAGGACACGGCCCTGAGATGAAGTGTGAGCAGTCAGACTCTGTTTACCACTGCTGGCAACTCACACAAACACAGCACATGCTGAGACATGGAAATGATCCCTGTCTACAGTTCAGTGCTATAACGCCTGTGAATGTTGTTAACACAGCGCACCATTTACAGCACACATGAGTAAGAAATTCTGCTGTACCATGAACCCCTCTCTGGGGTGAAACACTGTTGAGACTATCAGGCTGAATGTGGCAAACATCCTTCCTTGCAAATCTACTGTATCTTGAATATCCTTTTATTGTAGCTTCTGCTCTTTATACTTTGCATGTATCACCTTTAGGTATATTTTCATATCGTACCTCAGTTATATTACAGAGAGAAAAGGATACTATATGTTTTAACGTGGCTAAAACTTTGCCTTTCTACTATCTGATGTGAAGGCTCTCTCTGATGACAAAACCAGGAACAACAGTAGCTGCTTTTCTGAATCACAAAGATTCATCAGTTGTACCATGAGAAATGCTAATAGACATGGCACTGGGCCCACAAAGGGTCAGGAAGATACAGTAGCTTACAAGTGTCTTTAGTCTTTTACGCCACTGTGTTAAGAAATTGTATTTAATTATTGATTTGATGGCAAGATTTTGTTTGCAGAAAAATAATCCTGGCGAAAGGACCCATCCTCAGGACTTCCTTAAAAACTTTGCATTTTACCCAGGTGTGGTTTTGCAGGATGTAGCAGTGCATGCTTCTGTGGGGCTGTGGCTGTCTCAGCAAATTGCACTGATACTGAACAAAACTTGAAACACAACACTTTTGTTTTTGCTCCCACTTTTCACAGGTTTAACTTAAAGGGCCAGTGTGTAAAATGGGTTGAAAACAGTGACATCAGTGGTCAAATTCTAGATTGCAGGGCTCACTCGCTCACCCCTCCCGTCGGGTAAATGACGGTGGCCTTGTAGGGACAAAAAGCCTTGCGCACGAGTTTTTCAGGCGTAGGTCTATCTAGCGACGAGGTGAATATTTATTTAGAAATCTAAACCATGTTACGATATTGTAATGAATCCCTCACGAGCAGGAGACCAGAGGAGCATTCGGGAAAAAGGCCTGTTTATTTGAGCACTCCAAAAACGCTGGTAACACTCCAGGGGGTAAAAGACTCCGTCCCAAACACTGACTCTTCTAGCGTAACACACACTTCATACACACATACTCGTTTACCATACCAAGTGGGGACCCCCCTCCCCTCTCCGCTCCGCCAACCTCCAGCCCGCACACTGACTGACAGCGTAGCAGGTAAACAGAGCTCAGCTGTTTATTTAGCCTAGCAATATCTCCGGACTATAGTAGCTGCAATGAACGACTTTGAACGCGATTTTGAAGAGTTTCTTGTAGCGGACACAGACCCAGAGCCATACCTGTTTGAGCCGGAGCATACAGATGAGGAACTCCATGTGTTTGATGCTGAGCGGGCGAGAAGAAAGGCTGAATGCACAGAATGGGATTCGGTGCTACTGCTATCATCGTTGGGGAGATATATCATCAGGAGGAAAAGCGCCGCAGAGAGTGCCTCACAAGGAGTGAAGTTGCGCTTCTTTTCCTTGCAGATGACAGTTTGGGTTCATTCTCTCCTGTTGCGTGGTAAGTGTGGTCCATTCGCAAACTTTATAACTAAAAAAACTTTTCACTACTCTCTATCGACGAACTACTAACACTCTGCTGTTTCCTCCTCCTTCTTCCTTCCTTCCGCTGTCTTCGTTGGTTTATTTATACACGCGAAACGCGTTCTCTGGCTGGCTGGATTGTCCACTCAGTCTGCCGTACATACATGGCGGCGCAAGATGGCGACCTCTCTAAAGCAAGGCTAAAATCCGTGTTAGTGAGCCCTTCTCATTTTCCAAGATAATCCATCCACCTGACAGGCATGACATATCAAGATGCTGATTAAACAGTATCATTAATACATAGGTGAGCCTTGGGATGGTCACAATACAAGTCCACTCTGAAATGTTGCAAGTTTCGAGGGAGCGTGCCATTGGCAGGCTGACTGCAGGAATGTCCACCAGAGCTGTTGCCTGTGAACTGAATGTTCATTTCACTACCATCAGACATCCCCACTGTTGTTTCAACAAATTTGGCAGTACATCCAACCAACCTCACAATCATACACCATGTGTAACCACACCAGCTCAGGACCTCCACTTCCAGTGTCTTCACCTGCAAGATCATCTGAGACCAGCTACCTGAACAGCTGATGCAACAACTGGTTTGCACAACCTAAGAATTTCTGCACAAACTGACAGTAACTGTCTCAGGGACACTCATCTGCATGCTCATCGTCCTCACCGGGGTCTTGACCTGACAGCAGTTTGTAATTTATCGACCTTTGCGGTTGTAAGGTTGGTTGGATGTACTGCCAAATTCAAGGAAACAACATCATAGAAAACTTGTAGTAGTGACATGAACATTCAGTTCGAGGGATAAGCACAAAAATGTATTAAAATGTTTGTGTAATTTTGGCTATTTTACATGAGAACCTGTGTGAATGCACAACAAAAAAAAAATACTATATTAGTTTGGTTTGTTGAAAATGAAAGGTTGGGCTGAGTGGCAAGTTATGGGCTAGTTTTATGACTAAAGCTTGAAAAATTTACCAAGTTTATTTGATGCACATTAAGTATGAAGGCATACAGAATCTAAGCTACTACTCATGTCTTCCTATAGTTTGTTTATTTGGTCTCACACTACTGTACACACACAAACTGATAGTCTGCCTTGTCAGCCTGCAGAATACAGACCTCCATCTGAGTAGATTTGTGTGGTTGGACATAATTAAGTCCATCTAAATGTCAGTATATTTTAGCACTATTTATTTGTACATGTTCTCCAGTATAATGTTATGATGGTCAGTTTGAGAATTTATTAGCAGTCAGGTGAAAGTCTAGCTGCAGGTGCAGCAGTACGAGGAACACCAATTTAAGTGCATCTTCGTAAATCGATGATCATGAAAAAATTAAAGCCCCATTACCAAGTTTTTAGGGAGATCTGTATGCCTAGTCCAAATCCACTGGGGGAGGGGTATATTTTGCATACTTACGTGTCACCAAATTCAGAAATGTTCAAATCCAACATGAGGGTTGGAGGCTTTAAGTTGAATTAATATGGAGAAAGACCACTTTCGCACCTAACATTGTATGTCATTGTTGATCAACCGTTGTGAAGTCAGTGTACCTGCGTAGTCTACTGTATTGAAAAAAAAAACAATCACAGTAAAATGCTTTAGAATAATTTATTAGGATTTTAAAATTGAAATTATCAGAAAAATAAACCAACAAAAAAAAAATAAGAAAAGAAAAGCATTGCTGTAAAGCTTGGCGGGGGACAGCCCAAATCTTAAACTTTAACTGAGCTCATGTAGACGAGCTCCTCTCAAAGCATTGGCCCTTTTCCTTACATCAACACAACAGAAGACATCATTAAAATCAATATACAAGGGGAACAAGATCTCAAAACAGAAAAATATAGTTTCTTTTTTTTTTCTGAAAATAAGTCTTAATGCCGCAGAATTATTCACACATCGTCTGCTATTACCAATAATAGTACTATTTTCATTTGTAAGGTAAAAAATAACTTATTGCTTTATTGTAAGTTAAAAAGTTACAGTGTTGGTGTCCAGCAGTAGTTTTATGTCATGTCCCAGGCGGTCTGACAGAGGAACTACTGGCTGGATCAGGAAGTTTTCTGCTGTGCTGAACATCAAACAGGCTGCAGCAAGAAGGCTAAACAAACAGCCTGCTTGTTTTTGCAAAATGTTGAATTGGTTCCAGCTTTCTGACTTTTTCCTGCCAGCCAGTGTCGTCTGTACTGAGGTCCTGTATCAGAGCCGACCGGGAGCGAGACCCTGTTCCATTTCTGGTTCCCTGCCCAAACCCCCTCTGTTCACCACTACACGGAGCAGCAAGTGTGTATAAACAATAATATGTCGGTTCCAGAGGAGCAGAAATTTGTTAAACCTAAATATGAAATGGGAGGGAGGCAGGGGAGAGGAGCAGGTGAGCCATAATGGAACAGGGCGATCTTTTTTTTTTCAGTACCAAAAAAAAAGTGGCAATCGAAATGCTCCTTCGTTGCCAGAAGTAGTTCCATATTACACCTTGATGTATGCGCACAAACACTCACTCACACACACTCAGACGCAATCACATGCACCTTCAATAGCGATAAGAGGACAGAACATGATTGTGATGTTTTCTACAATTGCTTCTCTGAGAATGTCCTTCATTTGTTTTCCACGGTAGAGAACACCGCATAAAAGAACTTTTTTTTAAAAAAGAAAACAATAAAAACAAAAAACATTAAGAAGTGAATCGCGCAAAAATATATATATAATATTTTCAAAAAAGAGGAAGTCAAGTCAACCCCCCCGCCCCCTCCCCAACCCCACGAACTCCTGATTTCTGCTGTGTAAGGTTGTGATTCTTCCATAGTCCGCCATGTTAATCTTAAGTAGTTTTCGTGAAGATGCGAGAAATCTGGTTCATCATGGTGCTGTAACTAAAGTCGAAGTTGCTTTTTCAAGAAGCGAACAAAGTGATGCGTTTGTGACAAAACTGTTATTGAACTGAACACATGTGCCAGACTAACTCCTGGAAGTTTTATTTCTCAGCAGCGATCGCCGATGGCGCTGCGCTGATGCATCACTGGAGCCGACTGGCCAAAGATGTACACATATACCTGTGCATACTGGTAAAAGTAGTGAGATGACCACACATAGTAGTAGATGACAGCCAATCAAATAGCTGTTAACCCTCTCCAAACCAACCAATGACATGCGAGCCGGTTCAGTACCCCCTCCACCCCGCCCTCACCCCAACGTCTATGTACAATATCTTACAGGAAGACATAAAAACATTGCTTTAAAACCAATTACAGAATAAAATACCTTACAGATTATCATTATTATGTCAATATTAATAACAATATTACAAAGGTTTTGTTTTTAAAGACTACCAAAATATACATTTTAGTTTTTTTTTTTCATGTTTTCGTGATGCTTGAGTTAAAAAGAGGACTTCGTTGGATTTGTTCTTCCTTTGTTAAAAATGGTTTTCAGACAAAGACCCACCTTGCGTGGCTTTTTCTCTCTCTCTGTTCACATCAGTAACGGCTTTGAAGGATTTAATGATGAAACAACGTATCACATTGAAATAAAATAATAATAATAATAAAAAAAAAATACTCAAAATAGTCCTCTGTGACTTTGTCGAAGATGACAAACGTTTCCTCAGAGATTTTTTTTTCCTTTTTTTGTTGCAGTTTTCTTTTCTCAGCTTCAAAAAGAAAATAATGGATAACGGAGGGAAGGAGGGGATCTAGTTATTACACAGGACAAAAGAGGAGAGACGGGGGACGTTATGTTGAAGTGAGATTAGTACAGCAAAACAGAGTTCAGGATTTTAAAAAGATATTCAGTCGGTGGGTGGAGCCACAGGGAGCCAGGAGAGCCCGGTAGAGCCTGTGGCCGGCCAATCAGGTTGTGCCATCAGAGGGCAGCCAGCATTTTGATTGGCTCATCAGCAGAAGAGAGGCCCTCCCATCTTCAGTGACCTGAGTCTTCTCAGTGGTAGCCATTAGTGAACGCAGTAGCAATCAGAGGGCCCTGGGGATGCACCGACAAGAGCGGATACACTTTCTATTATATTTGGGAATAATACGTGCACCCATGCATGCACTGAAGTGTGTGTGTGCGCGTCGGTGGGGGCGTGTGACCTACCCCTAGACCGTGGCCAAACCCTGTGCTGGGGGCGGGACTAGCGGCGCTGATGTAGCTGCTGACTCCTGAGTCCTGGTTGGCTGCGGCGTACAGGTCAGCCATTGGTCCAGGGCTGCTGGTGCCCAGGAAACCAGCTGTGCGTGAAGGGGTGGAGCCTGAGAGACGAAGGACACAAGTCAGGCTTCAACACTAGAGGGCTTCTCACACACACATACATACACACACACACACACACACACACACACACACACACACATCTAAAAATACTCTTTTATTTGTCCAAGCAGGACACACATTCTACCAAAGGCAAGTATATGCAGAGGCACTGACATTCTTTGTCTAAGCACGTCTCTCTCTCTCTCTCACACACACACACACACACACACACACACACACACACACACGTACCTCTAACTACTGCTGCTGCTGCGGCTGCTGCCATTGGTCCATACGCAGTCAGGGGAATGGCTGAGGGTCACAAACAGACCAAATTATGACAGTCATTGTGGATTGCTCTCATATCAGATCATGAGTCACAATCTACAGCTCAGTGTCTGTTGACTCCACATCTGCTCAAACATCTGTCATGTGATTTAAGTCCAACTGGTGGACGGAGCGACATCTAAAAACCTACTGCACATATTGTCCATTGAAGTCTGTCTTTAGGTTCTTTAAATAAGGGACACAATTATGCTCATGATAAAAACCAGGAGGGTGACAAGTCAAGTACAACTCAGAGCCACTAGATGGCAGTGTGCAGAGCTGCGGGAGCTACTTTCAGATACAGGGGCCATGGCTAAAAGTAAATCCTACCTAACTGAATTAGGAGGATATCCTAAAAACATGAGTGTGAGAGAAGTTACGGGCAGCCCAGAGGACTCCTCAGTCAGTTAAGACCTGTTCATAATTAGTCAAATGCTGCTCATTTTATGTGATGCCATCTTTTACTTGAATCAATTTCATTTTTTATCTTATTGTAATTAAACTTTTTATTTAAAGCTAATTAAATAACATTTTTTAATTTAAAAATGGAATTTAACATACAATTTGGTTTTTAATTACATTTCAAAGTTAACTTTTTTATTCAATTAAATGCAAATTTTAATTGTACTTCTCATTTAGGTCAATTCAATTTTTAATTAATTTATAATTAAATTTTTTTTTTAATTATTCATTTATTGTTCCTTCTATTAAATAATGTGTAATTCTTGACAACATTTTTTTTAATTAAATGTAATTTTTTTTTCTTTTTCTTTCCTTTTTTTAATCTCATCTTATCCCCTCTTGTTCTCTTATTTTAGGAGTTCTCTCAGTAAAAGTTGCTCTCAGCAGCTTTGAGAAGGCCTCAAAAGAAATATCTTTTCTAGGAACTCTTAGTGCCCTTTGACTCTTAGTGGTAAGGGCTTACTGTAATTTTTCACCTGAGTAAAATGGTTAATCATTCCAGTAAACAACCTGATTATTCTCATCAAAGAAATAGTCAGTTTACATGAAATTCAAAGGGATAGTTTAACATTTGAGAATATAGACTTATTTGCTTTCTTGTCATTTGATTTCTGCTGCTGAACAGATTATTTTTCTTTCCTCTCAAGGCCCTTGGAGGAATGAGGAGCCACTGACCTGCCAGCTCAGGGGGGTGGGATGATGTCAGGAGGGGGGTCCTCTCTAAATGGAATTCTAGAAACAGAGAAGGTCAAGAGAGAGCGCTTTGTAAATACAGTCACCATCCACCGGTCAGACTACAAAGCCACACACACACACACACACACACACACACACAGACATTTAGCCACAGCAGAACGCTAACATGGAAGCAGGAGCACAGAAAGTTAAACATCTACAGTGAGGACGGGCAGGAAGGTAGGAGCAAAGGAAAAGGAGGGGCGACACAGCCAAATGAAAGGAGGTTACATAAGTAGATCAAATAAACGCAGAAGAATATCAGAGGAAAACAGGCAAATAAGGGACATCTGAGATATTTTAAAGAAGGAGGAGGGTGTGGATAGGCAGGCATGAACAATTTAAAAGACAATTTAAGATGGTATTATGTGTGTGTGCTCTTGTGGTTCATAACATTGCATCACCTCAGTACTTAACAGCTGTATTAACAACATGCTACAACCTGTATCCTCCCTGTTAGAGGGCATATAGAGACCGACTTACATGCTAGATGTGTATGGACTCACCTGGAAATTGATAAGTGTAACCAGGAGCAATTCCAGAGTAACTGCGGCTGGTGTAGGTAGTAGTCTGAAAACCTGGGTAGCCTGTTAGACACAGAGAGTGATCATCAGTTTAGTTACCTTGGCTTAATAAACACACATAAAGACTTTATGAAATATTATTGATCTGCTGGTTAATATTAAAACAAGTAGCCTACATATTGATTATATTATTTCACTACTACTTGTAATAGGCAACCACACATTCACCTGCTGCAGATGCTGTTAGCTCAGCAGTCTTATATCATCCATTTCCCTCTGCTCTAACGCAGCAGGTATGCAAAGTATCCAGAGTATGTGATGTCACATGATCATCATTATACAAGCTGGCACCTTACATAAATATGATGTCAGGAAAAAGACGTTGGATTCTTATGTCAGACAGATGTTTTCACTTTCTGTGCTCATTTTCATCATCCAATGAATATTTAGAGTTCACAGTGAAGCTCTGGATCAATTCATCTACTGGGGGACGTGTATCGTAATACATTTTTTTCTAGTATTCCTTTAAGGGTCAAGGTCACCAAAGAGGAATTGAGAACAAATCAGATAAAGGAGTCAACACCTTCAGCTGTTATTGAGGACACAGGGACTGTGGTAACAGTATAATGTCAAATGATCCAGTAGAGGGAGCCAAACAGCCACAAATGACACATAATGGTAGCTCCCAGTTTGTTTTTCAATGAGGACGCTTTCAAACCATATTTCACTCCAGTGTGTGTGTAGCTCTCTCGTCCTTCAGTCTGTGACCTCTAAATTTTTTCATCATACATCGTAGTTTTATTTACAGAAGGTGTGAGAATCAGATCAGGGAGTAATAACCAAATTAAGAAGGTGATTTTGCTTCAGGTGAACTGGATATTTCATAGGTGAAGTCAAAAAAATACCACACGTAAGAAACCATAGGAGGCATTCTTACTACGGTGTGAGTTAGTGTTGTACTGCAGTGTGAAGATACTGTAATTTCTAACTTTGGTACAATGCCTTGAAAATATTTATATTCAATGCCATTTTCAATACCACGGGGAAAACTGGATACTGAGGGCATAAAATTTAACTTTCTATCAAAAGATAAATATATTAAGGCTATATCATGCCAACCTTTCTATTCTGGGTTAGTAACAGAGAGCAGCACAATGATTGTAGTAAATATTAATGATGAGAGAGAGTGAGAAAGTACAGCTTGTATTGGTGTACTGATACTCTGGAAACTGAGCAGTGAAACCACTTCAAATATTCAGAATCCCTGAATCGATATTTTTGACAACACTACTAAAATGTGCATCAAATTTAAAGGTGGGACTAGTGAGAGACAGTCAGGTGTGTTCAGCAAGCTGCTGTCCATAAAAAATGTGTTATTATGGAGACAAATGGACAAACTTTTCACGTGTTGAAAAATACTGTTATGTGTAGAACATTTGGAAAACGCAGCTTTAAAGCAGTATTTTGACAAACCAACTAGAAATTTGCATTATTTTACAGCAATAACTCAAAGTCAGTTATATAATTCAGTTATATATGTGAAAGTACCCTTTAAGCTAAATGGTTAAAGCGGAAACAGATGACTTTCTCCTCTCTTGCATTTCCAGGTTATTGTTGGTGCTGTCGCTAAGACAACTGCATCACTTTACATTTTCCTTTGAGCCTCGCAAACAATCACACTAATAACTGGGTTTGAATTATAAATATCAACACGCTCACCTTTAACCATTTACACACAGTAATTAACAAAGGCAGTATAGGTAAAGGGTGAAAAAACAGGAAAGGAGAAACACTGTCACGTTAATATAAACCACGACAAATGAAACTGAAGCTAAACCTCACGTTGCCACCAACTCTTTAACACAGTAGCTCTGATGAAACTAACTGGGGATAGCTACCAGGTTGTGCAATGTTTGATGCACTCCCTTTGTGCCGAAAATTGAGTCGTCATTTCCCCGAAGATCGTACCCGGTGGCAGACAGAACTGCATATCGAAAGCGAGGCTTATAGGGAACCACTCTAACACTCATGGCCTCATTATCCTATAGCCATTACATTGTGCAATCAACATTTACTTCACAATAAGTTATGACGATAAAGGTGTCTATTTCCACTTGAAATACATTACTAATTGTGACATTATGTGAAGATATATTTTATAAAACTGCCCATAAATGTCAGTGTTGGTGTTGTGTATGGCTTCTGCTCTGAACCACAACACCTTAAGATTGAAACCTTTAAGGAGACTTAAGTCTATTTGCTTCCAGTAAATTTGAGTTCGGCTCTTACCCAGCATGCCTATGCCCAGCATGAAGGCGTCCATCCCATAGGGCATCACTCTGGAGCGGCCTCTAGCTGAGCCTGTCGGCGTCATCACCTCCTTTGGCTGGGCTTTCTTACACTCCACCTAAGGCAAAGGACACCAGTGTTGAACTGAACTGAATGCATAGTGCAAAAACTCAGGCTCAATATGATATGACATGATATAACATGAACTGGAGGTATATTCCTCGTCGAATGTATTTTAAATGGAAACTTGTAGGTTGATGAAGTATGTCAAGGTTGACATGCGTACCATTTTGTTGTTGATCTCATGGAAGTGAATCTCACAGACTTTCTCCACCACGTCTTCATTCTCAAATGTGACAAAGCCGAAGCCTGGAAGACACACAAACAGACTCTTATTCCAACACTTGACCTCTCAGAGTGTTCGTGTCTGTGACGCCCTGTGGTCTGTGAAGAAGACACGTGCAGCTGAAACCCCACGACCTCAGATCTCAGCAATTACACTGATAAAAAATATGGTAAGAACACAGAATTTTCCTTTTGAAATGTTGCCTACGGAGTGGTTGACAAAGCACAGATGTAGATTGCAGAGGGGACACATACCCCCCCAATACTTAGAACACGTCCGTGCCAATAAAAAACACTGAAGTATTACAGAATTAGAGACACTTACACCATAAACTGATGGAGAAAAGGCACAAATTGGTGCATAAAAATTCACCAGAATGCAGAAAATTGTTTGATGCTCAATATTTTCTGGTGGAGGACCCCAAAATCCCTCGTTTCGTGTCCCCCCCTTAATGCTGAAATGAAAACTAGGCCCTTGAAACAAAGAGTATATTTTCACAAACACTTGACCAGATTCAGAAACTTATAAAAACTCTACAGTGACTATAATAAGACTGTAACCAGCCATTTCTAACACAAGGAGCTGGCTTCATCAGACCAGGCCTCGACTGGTTTGCCTGTCAATCAAACTGTTGGCATCACGAAGGAGCAGGGATAGGGCGTGGTTCGCCAAAAACCGAGCCCAGATTTACGGTCCTCTCCCGATTATCACACTCAATTTCTCCCGCTCCACCCAACTGTCTTCCCTTCTCCCTCTTCCCTCACTTGTCTCATTAAGTTACATCCTGGCCTGCAACCATCACGACCCTGTATCACAACCCTCAGCGGGAGCTGCACCTCTCACTCACTGGGAGAGGACAGAGATGAATCACTTTCTTTTGTCTTTCCATTTGAGAAAAATTCAGCTTTCATATTTTAAATCGTGGACGCTCACTAAGTGACTCTATCACGCTGTTTCCCCCTTTCATTTACGTGTTTGTATGTGTCCCTACTTAGCATGTCGACACATATTAGCGTGATGCGTGCGTGTGAATCATAACTCTGTAAACATACCTCTGTGTCTGTTGGTTGTTTTGTCAAACATAAGCATGGCATCGTCGACCTGTGAGAACAAAGCAAAGAATAGATGAGTTTCGACATATTAAAACACACACACACAGACACACACACACACACATCATTACACAGCATGGGGTGCCATTGTCCCTCTTTAGCATTGGAGTAAGAGGGGAAAACAGATGGAGAGGGTGGAGGGGAGAGAGGGAGGGGTGACAGGTGACAAAGGAGGAAAGAAAGAATGAGAGGGAGAGAAAGGAAGAGAGCGATGGGGAAATGAGGGAGGCAGCGGGAGGGGTGGGGTGAGGTGGGGTGAGGCGGGGGGAATGCTGTATAAAAATAAAATGAAATACAATCTATCAAGGTGAAAAAGAAGTGAATGTTCCTTGTTCAGGAGGCGCTGGAGGAAATTCTTTCCCATTCTTTGCTCTGTCTCTTTCTCCTGAGTTCTCACACAAACTCTGTCCTGCTCTCTCTCTCTCCTCTTTTTTTCCCCCTTTCATTCGTTCACCCTCGCTGTCTTTCTGTCCCTCTCCACAAAGTTTACTATTCCCATGGAGACCCTGTAAAGAATTTCAATTAGAAGAACTAGCCCCCTCCCTCCCTCAACTAATTTCAATGAATAGAATGGAGGGAAAGGGGAGAAAAAGAGAGGGAGAGAAAAGGACAGAAAAGGAGAAAGAAGGGGAAAATGATAAATAATGGGGTGATAGAAAAACAGATAGAAGGGGAAGTTTTGATGGAGGATAAATGAACATTTAGGATCAGAGAGTATAGAACAAAGTGAACTGGGGTCTTTGTCAACACGCTCTCCTTTCATTCTCCTTCTCCCTCCACTTTCCTTTTTGCACTCACTCCACTGCCCTATTCATATTCCTCCTCCTCCCCCTGTCCACCCTCTCTCCTCCCTCCCTCACTTGTCCTTCACTGGCAGGAAAGTTAGCAGCTTCTGCCTGAGCTCTGACAGCATGAGGAGAGAGAGAGGGAGGCCGAGGCCTGGGATCACTGTGGAAGTGACCTTTGTGTTTTCAGTCATTAAGTACTGCGACAACATTCGCAAAAATCTGCAACTCAGATCTTCCTGCATCACATGGACACACGGGGAGTATGACTACATTGCTATTTTCATTAGACAGCACGCACTGAAACTCAAACCAGTGTAACATGAGTGGCAGAGGCCTCTGGATGACCAGGCCATCCGATTTCTAACCTTTACATCAGATGTAAAACACATCCTCTCACTGAGACTGAGTGCGGGTACGATTTTTGGATTTCCCTCGCCAAATTATAAACACGGAGAGGATCGAGGTTGCTTCTACAACCTAACTGACCTTTTAACTCTCATCCTTGTCAACGTATATCTTGGACACACACACACACACACACACACACACACACACACACAGAGCACCCCCTCCTCTTTCTGTCCTTCATTCAGTTTTTACCCCCCCTCCCCTCCCCCTCCTCTTCCTCCTCTTCCTCTCCTCTCCTCTCCCCTCTGCCTTCCACCCTTCCGGTCATCCAAACTCAATGACACAGCAGAGAGCCAGGGAACAGGACAGTTAGTAGACAGCTGCAAGCCAACATGTTATCATAAGAGTAGAGTTACACGCACAGCTAGCCCTCCTGTTAGCATTAGCAACATCTATTCTGGATTAGATGGTTAGCGCTGCCAGTCAGAGGAGCTTTTGAGCTGCGAAGCCAAATTTTTTTGAAGCCGGAGGAAAGATAACAATGCTGCACAGTCATGCTAATGTGGCTCATCTTATTGTCTTCCATTAGAATATAATGGCGTGCTCACTTGAGAAATATTCTCTCACGTGTGTGAGCGTATGCTGTGGTCGCACACCAGCCCCTTGCCCTTGCCAAAACCAATAAGAAGACGATCCTCGATGTCCACTGCCCAGGGTGCTGTAAGACAATCTGATTGGATAGCTGTGGGGGTCTGAGATTGGCTTAGCAGCGGCTCAGTCGCTAACTAGTCAGCGTGCATGCAGAGAGTGGAGAAAAGTTAAGGTCATATTCTCATGAAGTTCTCAGATGTACTCGAACAGGGGTCAACTGTGATCCTGCACTGATTTCCGAGCACAGCATTAAAAATATCCAGTTTTTAGTGAAGCGTGTAGCCATTGTCTGAAAAACAAGCGCTTGCTGACAAGTCCATTACACTTTCTGCGACATTATGAAAGGTGGCATTCACATTTTTTCCCCTTCTGTCTCCTCACATCTCCCTCTTTCATTCTCTCCTCTCTCTCTCTCGCTCTCGCGCTCTCCGGCCATCTCTCTCTAAACAGGCCAGCAGACAAAGTGTTCAGTCAAGCCTCCTAATCGCCAGCTCACATGGGTGAGTGGAGTCCCAACTTTTCCCGTCTGCCCTGTCCAATCCATGCTGCATTTTTCGTCTTATCCACTCCCTCCTTTGCTTACCGCTCTGACCTATTCTCTCACTTGATTTCAGAAGAGGGATTTTAATGCTAGTTTTTCAAGTAAGGTACTTTGAGGAATGCAGTACAGAGAAGCAGGATAAAAAGCGTGAAAACAGGGATTTCCTTTGGATTAAACATAATTGACTGTATGACCCAAATGCCTGAAATGCTAATTATCAAATTACCTAACTGTGAGCCTGATAACCAGTTTAAAACACATTTCTCTCTTCCACACAGGCAAAAAGAGGGGAGCTGTTCTCGAGGGGGATTACAAGACCTTCACCTCAGGATTCAGACTTATTTCTCGTACAAACATGGCTGCTGTAGCCTCATTGGCCTCGAGACGTTCAGCAACTGGAGCTCAGATTTGTCCAGTTGGGAAACCGCACATTAACACATGCCTTTGACTTGTCTGTTTGGTCCAAAACACCTGACGTGTCAACTGAGCAGCCATTTCAGTCCAGTCTAATGAAGTTTGTGTAGGTGTGCCTTCAGAAGTGTACTCCGAAAAAATAAACTGCGGCGCATATCAAAGAGTTGCATAAAATGCATAGTGCATTCTGTGTTTTCCTTTGGAGGCGGTGCCACAGTATGAAAATAAACAGGACACCAAGTCCTACTCCATCCTAACCTGCACCTTGTAACCAGGCTCAGATAATAAACAAGAAATACCTCCCGCTCAGCAGGAATGCACTGTGGGATTGGCGCTATCCATGATACAGCTTTGGTCTCACGTGTCCAAACAGTCCAAATATTCCCTCATCCTGCGGAGGGAGTGTTGTCTTAGATATGAGTGTCTGTGATCACCAGGGAGAACTGATTCGGCACAGAGCTGCCATTTTATAAAACGCAGTCAGGAAACATGACACATGTCACAACATGCACCTTACAATCACTTAAACTGTGTGATGGTCACACGTGTGATGCGGGTCGACCAGCACCCACGACCCAGAATTAGAAGACATTATGTGAATTTGAACTAGCACCTGAAATATGGTAATACCCTAAACATGAGTCAGAGGCCAACTGAGAGAAAACACAGCCAGGCACGAGGCAGGAGGAGGTTCGTGCTGTTAATTTCTTCCAAACCATTAGACCTACACTCTGAAGCGATGTTCATTTTCAGACTCTCTCCTGCTTACATCAACAGCTGAACCACACGCTTAAAGGGACAGCTTACCTCGAAATTGAAAAATACATATTTTTCTTCTTACCTGTATCAATCTAGATTGTTTTGGTGTGAGCTAGTTGTCTGCCTTCTCTCCAATATAATGCAACTAGATGGCACTCGGCTTGTGGTGCTCAAAGAGCCAAAAAATACATTTTATAAAATTCAACAGCAATGTCTCTTTCCAGAAATCATGACCTGATTATTTAAGATAATCCACAGACCTTGATGTGAGCAGTTTCATGTAGGAACTATTTTCTTTCTACCAAACTACACCAATCAAACGTATCACTGCACAGAAGGAAGTGTGCATGCATCTACTGCTAGCTCACCTAGCACCACTGAGGTAGCTAACGTGACAGCTAGGGCTTGGTATTTTTTATTGTTTTATTGGTATTGGTACCAATACTAGTATTCTTAAAGTGATACGGATACAAATATAGTATCTCATCACATTCACAACCTATAATGTGAATGGAGTGGCGTGTCGTATAGCCATACTTTTGAACGTTTTGGTGGCATCTTGGCACACTGAACTGCCAATTCTGTCAAATACATGGCGCTCAACTTCACCACACCACAGACTGTATAAGTTGTCGCTGCTGCTGCAGGAGTGTGAGCTCCACGCCAGGGATAGTTGTGTGACAGTAGAGTCAGTAGAGCAATAGAGACTGTCCACCAGTGCCCATATTGTTTTTTTTGCTTGTTGTTATCTTAAATGCTTTAAATCCTTAAAATCTGTACAACCTAATCGAAAAGGTTATGTAATTCAATAAACAATAATAACTTATACAAATATTGAAATTGTCTCATTAAAAAAAATTATGTTTTATCATCAAACTTTATAAAATAAATCTAAACAATCTAAAAGACGAAGAAATATAAACAAAATATTTTTTTAAGACTCCATAAGTCATTTGAACTAATTTTATTATTTAGTTTCGGAGATATGCTCTTTTTTTTATGAGCAGAGTACAAAGGCTTTGTGGTAAATTTATTTTTCATTCATCTGACGCCACTATGCGTATTTGCGTAATTTGCATCACACGTAACGTAGTGCAATGACGTTACGAACATACAATGTGATGACATGGAAGACAGCAGCCTTAGTTTTCTGGTGCAAAAAGAGTGAATGTTCTAGCTATTAGCTTCTGGTTTTTATTATAGATAGATAAATACAGGATTATACAAACAGCAATCTACTTCGGCCATTACACGGAATTTCCTGAAGAAGTTTAGTTTAAAGTTTACTGATCTGGCAGGGTATCAGGACAGTTCGATATCAGACCCCCGGCGCAAAAAGGATCATATAAAGATTTTGTTGAATGATGATGATGATGATACTTTCGATAGACGTTTCAATACTACCTGGTGCTGGGCTATTTCGGTGGATACCTTAAAGATATCAAGTACCGATAGCCAGCCTGAGTTACAGCTCAGCCAAAGAGGACGCCATTACTATTTACATCTCTCTCTGTCACGACCAAAACCCTCTTGTCCATGAGTGATGCATTCGCACAGTGATTCAGTTGGTGGGTGTAGTTTGGCAGCCTGTGCCATCCTGAAGGCAGACATCTCCACAGCTGATATCACTATCACTCAGCAACAATACCAAAACACTCTTGATTGATAAAAAGTACTACAAGTGGGAGGAAAAATATGTATTTTTGATTTCTGTGGGAACTGTCCCTTTAATGTTTGTGACAACTGGATCCCCGGCTGTGAGTCTTACAGTCTGTACAAATGTATGCAAGCTTGCCTCCCATCGCAGCCACGGCGATGACACTGTCACACTTTCATGCGCACACACACACACCCTTCTTTCCATTCATGCAAATGCACACTTCTTACACATTTTTTTAAAAGAAACAAAAAAAAAAACACTGGATTACAGTGGGACAATGGGCGAAAGCAGGTCACCACGGCAACAAGCTGAGAGGGACTGGAGCAGGGTGTGTGTATGTGGGATGGGAGGGGAGTTGGTGTCTGAGGTACTGATTTTGGGTGAGGTGAGGGGGAAGGAGGGGGGGGGCAGTGTTACAGGAGCAGCTGTTGCATTTGATTAGTTAATACTGAAGAGCCTGAACTCAACTCAAACACACTCCCAAACCCCCCAAAGTGTAGTTAGCTAAAAAGTAACCCAACATTTCATGCATGATGGACACTTTGATACATTTATGGTCCATCAGATTGGTGTTTTTCCCTTTCATAGTCACTTTTCCTCCTCACTATCTCAACATTCCTCCTTTTCTCTGCCCTTCAACCCTTTTGAGCTCCCCTCCCTCTGTCTCTACAGGGGGCTGCTTCTTCCCTTTCAGTCCCCCGCCATCTCCCTCTTCTCCTCTCCCTCTTCCCCTCCTCTTGTTGCTTTTTTTTTCTTCCTCCCTCTCCCCGGCCACTCATCTGTCTCCACAGCATGTGTTTGCCTTTCACCAAATTTCATTCAAAGGAGCTGAGCAGGACAAATGAAAAAGCCAAAAACACTGAGATGGGATTGTAAAAAGAGCAAAACAGCTAACAAAGGAGATAAACTAACAAACCAACTAATACCATAGCTGCCAGAGCAGACTATCAATGACCAAACAGCATTTTCTTTCCTTTCTTTTAGTTCTCTCTCTTTCTGTCCTTTCCTTCCTCCTAAACATTTGCTGTTTGTTCTCTGACATCAGGCCTCTTTCGCACTTTTTGTTGTGCCTCGACTCAAACGAAAAAGAGTAAAACAAAAAGAGAAAAACAAATTTGTCGAAAGCTGAGAGATGTCAAATGGGTGTAGCCAACGACAGATGAATAGAATCAATCAAAGGAACACAGTCCATTAGAGCAGTGATTCCCAACCAGTGGTACTTGGACCCTAGGGGGCACTTCTGCTGTTGCCAGTGGGTACATTGAAAGATTGTGGAGCGGCTCGGTAATTTCATAAAATAGAAATTTCAACTTCATAAAAAATGTGGTCACATATTGAGTCATCTTGAGCAACTAAACACCACAAGTTGTGACTAAGAGGGTGTAAACTCTAACTGTAACTTTAAAGCAACAGACAAGAGATGGATGGAAAAAAGTTAACGTTAGCTTAAAGTGACGGATGCATGGTCTGAAAAGTAACGATTAAACCGCTGAAATAGTTGGCTAATGGATGAATGACTGAAACAGCTGAAAGTAGTGGAAAATAGTTGAAATAGCTAAAATAAAAATGGTTGAAATAGCAAACACTAGCTAAGAGTAATGGAGGAACAATAGCAATAGTTAGCTAGTGGACACATGATTGAACTAACTAAAATAGATCCATGGTTGAAACATCCTGCTTCTGCCACTTCATGTGGTAATATTCAGTGTTGTGGTACAGTAATATTTTACTTTAGCAGTAACAAACTAAAGCAGGATTTATACTTCTGTGTCAAATCGACACTGTACCCTTCGCCATATTCTGACGTGTACCTCCCACGAAATGTAACTACATGTCACAGCAACGCAGACCTCCTGTTTATTTTTGTGAGCTGAAACCATTTCCCTCAGTGGAAACAAAGCTTTTATTTACTTTTATTTCACAGATAAGACTTGAGGATTTATCCTGGCTTCATACAGGCAGAGAAAATCTCTGCTAACTAGTTGCTAGGCTAATTTATACAATGTAAAATGCCATTGTGCTAGTAACGTTAGCATCTTATATTTGTTTGGAAAACGTGTTAAGTATAAGACAGATGTTTTGTCAGTGAACCTTGTGAGTTGTAATGGAGCTACATTTGTAACATTACCTTTGTTAAATGTTGCTGTTGTCCCTGACTTCATATAAGTAGAGGGAATGTAGGCTAGCTGCTAATTTAGGGCTAATTTATACAATGTAAAATGCCGTAGGCTTTTTAGCATGTATCTGTGGGGGAAAAAAGTGCTTTGTCTGTGAATGCTGTGAGTTATAATGAAGCTGATATGTGAACTTGTGTTTGAAATGGTCACTATTAAGTCATGTTTAATGTGTGTTTTGAATCAACTAAACTTTACAGCGCCTCACACAAACCTCTGCCGCCAACTAGTGTTTTGGAGGTGTAACTGCATAGTGACACAGACACACCACGCACAAGTATAAATGCTCACAACAGCATATGTTTTAATTTTTTCATTACATCCACGCTGCACCACTTTTACCAGTGCGCCCCACAGAAAAAATTCCACCAAAGAATCCTGTTTCAGTGTGTTGTCATGTTGTTATAGGCTACACCGTAGCAGGGTGCCGGTGTTTGGCATATATTTGATGCCATTGCATGTATGTTAGCATGTTAGATGTGTTCCTATTCATTTATTCTGTCCTTGTCTTACACACAACTCTCTCTACATTGTTGTTTCAGCTGACCAGGAACCTGCAAGTGGGTCTTTCACCTCACTTGCTATAGTGTGAGTGACTCACACGGCAATAAGCTTGTTGTGCCAACCTCTGCATTTGTCTATTGTGTTTCATGATAGGCATACAATCAAAGACATTTATCCCTATCTCATAATTTATCACTTTGTCTGTTGTCCACCTGCCCAGCCCTGTGTATTTGTTTATTTAAAAAGGCCGAGGCTATTTAATTGTTCTATATCATCCCACTATTGTTAATATAAGAGGGTGGTTTTAATATAGAGTAGTAACCATTGCGTGTGAATGCATGAATGGGCGAGATCTGCACTCAGGAGGAGAGCCTCCATTAGGGCTAAACAATATCACCCACCACTGGATGTAATGAACTTCAATAAACTGGAGCTACTGTGCTTTGATTACCTGCTATTAAAAACAACATTACCCTTTGTAATCAGTAACACATTACTCTACTCAGTAATACTGTAAAGTAAGTATTTACTTTCAAATAAAAGTAACTAGTAATATGTACTATATAACATTTTGAAAGTAACTCGCCCATTACTGAAGTACAAATGCAAACTGTTTAACTGTATGCATATTTAATGAAACATACAGTTCACTTTTATATCATTATTAGTTCAATAGTATACAGTTTGAACTGAATGTTGAGGGGAAGTTCAGTCTGACACAAACTGTTTGGGAATCACTGCACTAGAGGACCTGAGAGACCGCAGCTGATCACAGACTGGGGTGGCTACAAATAGACACCAGATTTGTGTATGCTTTACCTTTCCAAACTGGTCGAAGTAATGCTTCACATCTTCAATGGTGGTATTGACTGACAGTCCTCCGACAAAGATCTTCTTTGTCCTGGTCACCAGCTAGCAACAGAGAAGAAGAAGACGGCATCGTTTACCACTAATCACATTAGCCAGGGGGGTAGATGCTGGTGATAAAGAGACTTTGTGTTTGTTGGTGTTTAGCTGCTCTCAGAGGTTTCTGAAAGCTCTTCTGAACATTCAGCCTAATTCACTTCAGTTTAAGGTCTGTTACATTTAAAGCTTGGAGGAGAGTGTGTGCGTTAGTGTGTGTGTGTGTGTACAGGTGACTATTGTGTGTGTGCTGGCTGCTGATAGTCGGGGGTTGGGCAGGGTCAGGGTACGGGGTCACAGTGTCAGGCTGGACAAGTGGATTGCCGCTCCTCTTTGGTCACTTGCCTGACTCTAATCCCAGCCAACCAGGGCTGAGTGATGAGCAATGACATATGACATCATCACTACTCCCCCTTTATGTTAACCCTTTCAGTGTGCACTCACCTTAGGCTGGGCCCGGCGGGGAAACGCCACCTTCGGGTCGATCTGTAAGGGAGAGATGAGTTGAGATGAGTTTTAAAGTGGTTTAAGTAAAACTTGTCTGTTCTTGAAATGACGTACACATTTCAAGACATCCTGCTGTGGATCTGATTGCAGTTTTGATGATAGATGGGCTGTGACGATTGTGAAAGGCCGGCGCTACAGTATTACTGATATTTAGAGGATTCTATTAGTAGTGAGCTGTTGTTGACATTTGTTTCATTTATTAATATTCGGAGATGCACAGACCCCACTGCTGTATGTGTAAAATAATCATAATAACTGCAAAATCAACAAAGTTTTTCCCATTACATATTTTTTACCATAGGTGGAAAAGTATTACAGTGACAACCCTTCCCTTTGCCACAAACAAATGCATTGTCATTCAACTAAAGGAGAGAAATACTTCATATTTTACACATGGTTATATTAGGGCTAGGCAATTCGGAGAGAAGCAAATATTACCACATGTTTGACCATTAACTCCAATATCGATATTGCAATAATATTGTAATACTGTTGACTACTGTTGCTTTCACAGAGTATTTACACAGTGAGATTTTGCTGCCTTTTTATCATAGAACTGCTGGAGAGTGACAGGAAGTGGGGGTGAGAGAATGGAGATGATGCACAGCAAAGGGCCACATGTTAGAGCTGAACCCATGCTGATGCTAAGGACTCAGCCTACAGTACATGGGGTGCACACTCTATCCAGTGAGCTAGAGGCTGCGCCCGCAATGACAGTTTTGATAAATAATCACCAGCAATGTGGATGACTGAGTCAGGGTGTCTACAGGTACAAAGAAGTTTAAGAAACTTTAAGACCTTGTTAATACCACTTTAAATACAATTTAAGACCAAACTTTCGATGGAAATACCCACCACAAGTGAAAACATACTCTTTCCAAGATCAGTAAGGTAAAATGCCACTGAGCATACTCCCTGTGCTTACCACTTTAAGCACAGAAAAAAAAACTAACAAGCAGGTTGGCTGGCAAGGCCTTAGTTTAACAATGCAGACCCACTGCGAAATCTAAATGTGTAAAAGGGGTGAAAATAGGGTCTGGTTCCTCATTGAGCAGTGTTTTCTTCTGTTAAATGATGATTCTCGTAGCGAAATACCAGATATTGTTGCAGTAAGGCGACTGAAAAACATTTAAGACCCATTCAATCTGAATTTAAGACAATTTGATACTTTTAAGGGCTTTTTTTTAATTGATAAATGTGTACTATTTTTATATTCTAAGACAATATAGACACCCTGAAGTTGAGTAAAGATAGATAATAGAAAAGCTATAACAGTCTGCTAAGTTCAGAAATCTGTAACTCAGAAATTAAAACCAGGAAAAGACAACACTTATCATAAAACAATATCCAAAATCTAAGGCGACATCTAGTCTCATATCAAGATGTCAATATGCTATATTGCCCGGCGCACAGTTACATTGCTAAATTTATATTTCTTTAGTTTGTCTCTGAGGCCCCAAACAGAAGTAATGGGTCATTATATAACAGTTCAAATCATATCTATAAAAAAATCTTACAAAACCAGGAAAAGTCAAATGTTTGTTGAGCTGCTAAAGAGGGTTTCGGTATTCCAAGAACCCAAACAAATATAACAGTTAAAAAAGCACAACAAATATTTTTGTCCCTTCTGAGACTGCGAGGTAGACCTCCTCTTCAATGCACCCTCCCACCTTAAGAATCTCTGAGCAAAGACACCAAATCTCTGCCTGCTCCGGATATGTTGTTCAGCAGCTGATCCTGTGCTGTGTGTTAACGAAATCTTTCTCTGGGCATCGATGAATTATCACACTGTTAACTAAGTAGAATTAGTTACAACACAGAGCCTCTAAGTCTGAACCCATCTGAAGGCCTGCAAGTCCAGAAATAGAACATATGCTAATCTGCGAGTATGTATAGTAGACCCTTGTTTATGCAAGCCCCAAAAAATCCAAACACACCAGCCAAACAAACAGGCGTAGGGATCAAAATACACAGTGAGACGTGAATACGTACATTCTCTAAATTGTGCGTTGGGACACAACTAAATGTATCTTTGCCACAACCTAGACAGAGCAGAGCAGTCAGGCATCTAAAATGAGCATTTAATATTCTGAATACATTTCAGATGGATATATATTTTTTTTAAATCTCACAAATCCAGACAACCTCCATTTTGGATTAGCCAGATTTGACTGTATCCATATTTCTCCCAAGTGGAATGTCTCAGCAGTGGTCAAGGTTACAGATAAAATTAGAAGCAAATGAGTTTTGAATGAGCTGGCCTTTAATAATGCTAAATATGCAAAGCCTGGCCTGGCATTTTAAATTTGTGAGGAATCTCGTGTTATTCTCACTCAAGCCAACGAGAGAGATGATTTTAGGTCACAGGACCTTGTAGTGTATTATGGTCTTAGAGTTCCATCTTTGTTCTAATAATTGGATGTGTGAAGCAAAAGCCCTTGTGTCTCACACAGCCGCTATCAGAGGTATTGAATTGATATTGGCAACTAAAAGGGAGCCTATCAAATGGCCAGAAATAAGCACTTATAATGTGAACAATACACACAATGCGAGGGAGGGTGTTCATTCAATATTCTAACAATCCTTTCATCTCTTTCCTGTGATGATTCCCTGCTTCTGATGACAAATCTACAGACAAAAATATCCCACGAGGACCTTTAAGTACCTCAGATTTAACACTGCTTCAAGAGCACAACGCTGTGTAACTAAGATGCAGCTGCAGCGTCCTTGGGAGGGATTGCAGAAGGTCTTTGCACCTTGAAGTGGGGCACAAAGACGAGAGAGGAGTCATGTCACCTCCAGCTGGTCCGAGCACAAAGACAAAGGTGACAAGGACACGCAAAGCCACCCCAGCAACTCTCGACAGCAGCAGTGCAACAAACAGAGAGCACTCACAAACAATAACAACATTTCTTACAGGATCTGTGCTTAATGGGCCAAATGTAACATAATAGATGTGTGGCTTCATACTCTGTGATTACCAACGCGGTGACCTTTTCACCAGCTGCTTTTTATCAAAAAGATGCGAGCAAAAAGACACAAACACTGTAAATGGCAAGCACAGATGTAGCCATTTTCTTTTTTTTTACTCACAGTTTACAGTGCATGTAACAGTGCACCTGTGCTACTGAACAAATCCTGTTTTCAGGCTGTACTGGTGTTGTCACGATACTGGAATTCCTATCTCTAGTACAATACCTTGAAAAATGTAGATATTCGATACAGTATTTGATACCATCAGAAAAATGACATTGAGGGCATACAAGCAAAAAGATGAATTCATCAAGGTTTTAAAATGATATCAACGGCTATTCTTTCCTTGATTAGTAGCAGAAGACCATAGTCATCATTAACAATAAGAAAGAGCGAGGAAACACAGCTGGAAACGGTGTATCAATACAGCAGAAAATGTATATTCAAACCATTTCCAATATTCAGAATCTAAATGTATCAACATTTTTTGTCAACACTAGGCTCTAAATGTATTTTATATTCAAAATAAAAGAGAACATACAAGACAGGAGAAGCTGCAGTAACCTCAGAAGCATAACACGACAGAATCACGCTAGCAGACTACTACAACAAGCAGCAATGTACCAAGTCATCATTATGATTTCTTGTAAATACACATCCTCCCTTTACAAAACAGTCCTGGTGTAAAGTGGTTGGGAAATACGGGTGCTGGGAGTTGTTTTAACAAGAGGACAGGTGCTACCCTGAGGCCATGATGTGGCGGAGACACAGACCATGAGCTGACAATGACAGCGGTCAGAAAGCAGCCCTCACATCTGACACAAGGCTGCAGTCGCACCCAGTGTATACAGGAAAATATTCACCATATATCTGTTTCCAGGAGCCCATTACAATATATATTCAACAGCTTGTGGTGATTTTGAAATCAGTCACCTAAAGGGCTACAACTATCAATTATTTTCATTATTGATTAATCTGTTAAGCATTTTTCCAATTAATTCATTAGTTGTTTGGTCTAAAAAAATGGCAAAAAATGGTGTTGATTAGAATGTCCCAAAACCCAAAGTGAAAGTTTTGTTTCTTCCACAACCCAAAGATATTCGGTTAAGTATCAAAGTGGAGCAAAGAAACCAGAAAATATTCACATTTAACAAGCTAGATTTTTTTTTAAAATTACTCAAACTGATAAATCAATAAGCAAATTAGTTGTTGATTATTTTAATAGCTTGCAACTGATCAATTAATCGATTAATCACTGCAGCCCTAGTCTCCCGTCAATGTGTCTTTGTAAGACCCTGTTATTCTTCAATTCTGCTTAAAAACAACTATTTTCATGTTAAGGGTGATATCAGAAATATAATCTGATAAATTAAATAATCAGTAATATATGCTGTGATCCAATTTTTAAAAAAAATTCAATTGAAAAACAGTTTATGGATGAAATAACTGGACACTATTTTCTGGGGGCTTACCTAGTAAATCAAACAGCAAGATGCGTCATTGCATTGATGCAACAATGACATAAAAGAGACAGTATAGTAGAATAGTTTGTATGTCTCATGGTATATATATCATCATATTTTCCACCCATATTTCACATGTTGTCAAAACACCAGCATGTAAAAGCTTTAAATCATCAAGCACTCTTACAAAACAGCCTAAAATACAGAAGGTTACCAACTAGACTAGGTTAGGCCTAATGCAATATCTGTAGTAGTGCTTCTATGGCTACAGTCATGCCATGCTGTTAAAAAAAAAAAATCATTCCACTCCAGCGAAATAACAGAATATATCTAACATTTCATTTCTACATCTGGCTGTGCTCAGAGGAAGGCTATAATAAATGAAAACTAAAGCATCTATCAGACTGGCGGATTAGCCTCGAGGAAGACAGATAGGCCACAAAGCAAAAGGTAAAATGACTTAGCCAGGTCACTGTTTGCAACACTCAGAAATAGCTCTTCAGAGGCTTGACATTTGAGAAGTGGCTCGGCGATGTAACAGTCCCAATAAACAGTGGTGAAAACGTAACTACTAGGAAGCAAAAAAAAAAGTTGCTCTTCCCAGACTGACACAGAAGAGTTATGACTGAGTGTGTCGTGAAATGGTCTGACTAACATCCTGCTTCATGACATCCAACCTCCGCTCAATCTAAGCAGCAAAGTGACGGCAGAGCCTACAGTATGATTTTAGTGGTTTAGCTTTTAAGACTAGACTAATCTACGACCAATAGTCACCTCACGAGGCCCAGCGCGTCCACCAGTGTTACAAACTGGAAAACAAAAATAAAAAAATAGGACGTCAAATCAGTAGATAGAGAGGGAGAGAGAGAAGAAGAGAAAGGAATGAGTGTGAAAATGAGAAAGCACAGGGAGAAAGAGGAGGCATTCATTTGGAAAACAGAGTCAGCCCATGAGAAAGTGGGCCTGTCCAGTGTAGCGGTGCAGCGGGGCCGTCCCAGCAGGCAGCCCCTCTGATTTCATTAATTAACAGGACAAAGAGTACAAAACAGATGGGCCCGTAGAGGAACTGGGGCTCCCGTGCTACCCCCACAGGCACATACGCATACACACAAGCACCCACATAATGTAGCACAAACACAAACACCAACACATGAACACAAAGTGACACATATATGTAATTAAACAGCCAAGAATACACACCTCCACTGACAACAAGTGTATCGCCATCACACGGTGGACATATAGAGATGTAAGCTCTGACACATCGGTCAACCTGCCAACACGTTCTTGCCACAAAATGGCAAACACCCACACTGGTGAAAAAAGGCACCATGGGCTGCCCCATTATGGCAATATAATCAATATAAGCTAAACAAAAAGCTATAAACAGAAGAGGAGACAAAAGGAGCTGGCATGTCAATGCATGCACGCAGAGTGAGAGGGAGAGACTTGGTTTGGGCCCAGGCCAGCAGGGTCAATCTGCACAGCTGAACAATGGCACAGTAATTAGTTAACGAAGCTCACTAATGAGGACCCCCCCAACCCAACCCCGCTCCTGCCTGTGTAACTCTGCTAGGGTGCCTCGCCAGGGTGGGTGTGTGGTGGTAGGGTGGTGGTGGAAGGGCTTGTGCACATGTAGCATGGATAGAGAACCCTGGATCCACCTTCAGAGCAGGTCCAGGCTTTATCCCCGGATCTGAGGCCTCGCATGGACCTCGGAAGCCCAATCCAGTTTGTTTCCCTCAATCGGATTACTTGCTTTTCAGATCTATACTAATTACAGCACGGGAGCTGGACCTCCCTCGCTCTTCTCTCTCCTCACTCTCTCCTCCACCTTCTCCACCACCCCCATCTTCAGTTTTGTCCACATCAGCACTTACAGCTAATCTCCAGTCAGGAGCGAGGAGCCGGTGCTAGCATCTCCTCTAACCAGGTGTTAGACCACAGCAGAATGTGGTGCCAACGGTCCACAGAGGCTGGTGCTAACATATGTTGTTACAGTGCCCAGCTATATACGAAAACAGCTATATTAACACCACGCTGATGACCACCACTGTACCTTCGCAGGCGGTCGTGCCAAAAGCGGCAATTACCACCTACTGCAACACATTTGGAAAAGGGCATTCCTGTTTACTTGGTGTAAGAAATAACAAATCTTTTGCGTGTTCCTTATTTTTGCCATTCTCTTCTATAAAAAGGTGTTTTTCTACCAAGTTATCTTAGTTCAGGGTTACACTTGGGTTCTTTAGGGGTTATTCTGGGGCACACTGCCCTTTAAAAATACTATGTTATCACACATTACTAACAAATCATCACATAATTCACAAATACTGTCCAAGAATTAAAATGTGCACACAGATCTGTTACATATTCTCCTGAATCTGTGACAAATTTCATGTCATCAATCTCACAAATGACCTTCGCTTCACCTGAGAACTAGTATACTGTAACAACACCACAAATAATGAAGAGCCAAAATCCAATGACTGAGAAGTGGTGGCTTTTCAGAGAATATCTGGTCTCGTACTTTCCCGCAATTGCTTCCAGCAAAGTATTTCCTCCGTGAAAACAAATACCAGTTGGGCTCTTCTTCTCTGTCCAGAGAAATACGACAGCACACCACTGCCCTTAGGCCACACTCTGCCCCGACAGGAAATCTAACCTCCAACCAAAACAACAACCTCACTCTAAAAACAATAGACAACCTCTCATTTGTTGCATCTAAATTCTCAGGCCCACAGGTACTGACAGTAACTATAATGCTCAATCACTGTTTGCTCTGTTGCTTTTGCTTTCTAAGGTTGGATAACAATCCTGGATGGGACAGGACTGTAAATGTTTAATACCACTTGTAACTAGTGCTATGAACCTTGCACCAGTTAATGTAGAGTGTACGTCTCACCCTGTTGCTCCGTCACATCCCTTTCATTCACCTTCCCTCTCCCTTCTGCTTCAGGCCTTGTGGCGTCTTTTCTCACGAACCAAAGGCTCAGCATAAAAAGAATGAAGGAAAAAAAAAATCAGAGCATCGAATATTCTTCCTCATTCCAGGGAGGAATGTCTTTCTCACATCTCGTGCTGATCAAACAATAGTTATCCTCTCCTAACTGTGGAGAGAGGGAGTCCAGGTGTGAGGAAGACACAAGGTGCATAGAAATAAATAAATATAGAAAATAATTAAACTGGGACAGGTGTTGGAAACGTTACAGAGAGGCTGACACTGATCCCATAAAGCCACGCGTGTTATTATTAAAAAATATTCGGTGGAACACCACAGAAATTGACCCAGAGTTGACTCAAAGCTTCGACAAAAAAATTACTCTTGAAAGGCTTTATTCATAATTATTTATATTAAAAAAAGTCTGCTGCTACACTACGATAAGTCATTTTTGCATCAGTGATATTTTATGTATTGTTGTAGAATTTAAGCTGTCTTGGTTTGAGGTTTGAAAACACATGATAAAAAAAACATAATCTAGACTCTTATTCCCAAAATGGAAAGACAAAATGGCAACCATAACCCTGTTTAAAATGCCTGGTTGGATAAATAGTACCACAGCATGCTCCCCCCCTCACACTGCTGCCACAACAACCTGAGCAACCAAAGCTGCATTTGCGTAGTGAACATTATTATTGTTTAGCCTTATGCTGTATTTTGGTTTATAATAGGGCGACGCCTAACCCCACCAGTGGCCTGCCAACCGACGTTCACATCACACACACACATGGTCTGGCTCTCAAAGACTGTACCTAGGTTTAATAGGTAATATGACTCACTGAGTAACACTCTGCAGTTGCTTAGAACTTTCTTCCAGGCTAACTGGGAAAAAAAATTGATGGATTACCAGCAGCAACACTCATTTTCTAATAAACCTCGCAGCAACTGTGCAGGAAGATCCAACCATGCATAAATTCAAAGATTTAAAAACCTAAAAGTGCACAGATAATATCTCAATCTTGTCTTGCGCTCACTCACAAAGTATAAAGGTCTGTCGTGACATAACATTACCTGTGTGTGTGTGTCTGAGCCTGGCTACCCAGCCGAGCCAAGTGTCTTAAGTTAATGCAAAATAGCTGAGAAGTTGTTATGGAGACATAAATCCCATCAGGCTGTGCAGTTACAGCACCGTCTCCTGTGGCTGGCGTCACCCCCGGCAACAGGCTTGCTCCAACAACTAACCAACTCTACCTTTTCTCCACCCCTGGGCTCTGCTGCCTTTTTGTGCCACTGATTTTCACTCTCAAATGATCCCATTATGTGTGTGTGTGTGTGTGTTTAGGAGAGGCCACAAACTGACTGAAGACACACCCAGGCACCATTTCTACAACTAATCTACATGACCAAGAGAGCAGCATTCACACCTTCACAGATATTCAAATGGAAGTCAGCAGCTTTGAGTCAAACGCAGGGATTCACACATGACACTGTCCTCTGTATAGGTCTGTGCTGGTGGTGTAGTCGTAGTTAATGAGGTGGGTGTACTACTAGGTTACAGAGGAGGAAGTGAGTATGCTCTCCTATTATTCTGTGGCTTTTTGGCTGATATGGGACACTGTAAACCACCAGAAAGGTAGGTATACCTGCGTAAACCCTCCACTACACCACTGGTCTACATTATGTAGCTAAAAACACGCACATCTGACCTTGAATCTTCATGTGTCAGGGGTGTAGGAGGGGAAATCACAGCAGTTGTGTAAACAAACCTCTGCCTAATATTTAAATTCAGCTGAGACTCATTTGGACCTCACAGGCTTCCCCACTGACATCAGTCTGGGGACTACTGCCACAACAGTTTCCTTTCCTCAAACTTTTTTCCCCTCTGAGAGCTGCCACTAGAAAACGGGTGCTATTATTTTCTATGAAAAAAAAAGAAGAAAAAGGAAAAAAAACTTGCGAGCTCTCTACATAAACCCTGTGAGGGTTTAGCAGGGGCTCCTACCCCATTCAGGTCCCCCAGGTAACCATGGCAATGAAGACCAAGAAAGAACGCTTTCATGTTGGCGCCCTGAACCGGGATTTGGAGGGGGAAATGAGCAGAGAGAGGAGGAGAGAGGAGGAGAAGGAAAGGGGGGCTGCTCCATAACGCGCTCCTCAACTTTACAAGCCATACGGTGGGAGGCAAAATGCACTAAGGGGAAAGAAAGAAAAAAAACATGCTGCACCGAATTTGGGAAAAGTTACCCAAGACAACTCGCTGGCAGCATCCAGCTTCTTCAAAAAGGTAGAACTCACCGTTTTGGAATCCAACTCGTGTCTGTTTTGCGCCAAAACCTTCTCCACTCCGGCTTGTTCTGCGTATGTTACAAACCCAAACCCCCTGAAAAGCAACACACATAATAAAATAAGCAAAATCAGAATGCACACTCACGCCACAGGCTCATGGAAAAGCATGGAAGAGCATGAGGCATCCAGTGATAGGACGGCGGAGCGCACACGCCTCCTTCTTACCTCGACCGCTTGGTAACGGGATCCCGCATCACCATACACTCCTTCACCTCGCCAAATTTACAGAAGTACTCCTTCAAGCCCTCTGCAAAGACAGCACGGGAACACACGGTTAAATAAATCCACAAATCAGATGGGACTTCTTTCTCTCTTTTTTTTTTTTTTTTTTTGCTTCCTACAGGCCCTGGTGAGGTGATGTGCTGGCAGTGGCTGGAAAGAGACAATGGGGGTCGGGGCGGACCACGTTGTGTTTGTGTCCCTCCAGTCCTCAGAGACTGTACACGGGCTATCTGGCCATTCAGCATAATAGCCCATTAGGCCCTGTGGACTACAAACAAAGCTACACTTGGTGACGATTGCTGTTTTGACACAGCAGCCAGCAGCGGGATAATAACACGGGCCGCCGCAACAAGAATAAACTGTATGCGTGCATCTGCCTGTGCGCGCACGGCTCTTAAAATAAATGAATGGATTCAGCGGAGTGCAACAATAAGGAAAACAACACGCGAGCGTGGGCATCGATACGAGCCCAACTTCTGCTCTAACCCGGAATAATCGATCGCTTTTACTCCAAATGCCCTTCTGTTCTTAATAATGAGCGCACGGAGGGGGAAAGGCAGACAAAGTCGTCGTATGTGTGCATGCATTTCCACTGTTAATCTCCCTGCGTCTCGGCAAGTCTAAATCCTAAAACCTGATCCTTATTGAATAGGAGGCTTTGATTGAACTATTTACAGTGTTTTCTTCCTAACTCCAGGAAGCCTCGCGGGCAATATGGGCAGCTATATGCGTAAAGATGGAAAACAGGAGTAAACAAGAGGCTTTCATTCAGACTTATTAAAGTAGCGTGCGGGACAGCTCACCTTGTGTTGTCTGCCAACTCAGACCCCCGATGAACATTTTGCTGAATGAGAGAAATACAAGCTGTAAGTCACACAGAATAACACGCGTCTGTCCAGCACAACACATGCACATTCACAATGAAGGAGGGGGGTGAAACTGGAGGAATTATGTGCAATATAGCATCAATAAAGTAAGAAGAAAGCATCGGCCATGTTGCGAAGTCACCAATCGGCCAGTCGGGCCGTTATAATCCCCTAGAGGAGGGAAAAAAGGAGAGGATTTTCCAGATGATGGAGGAGAAGTTGCGATGTGGCCTTCTGGAGGAAAAGCGAGATAAATAAACAAACGAGATGGGGGGAAAGAGGCGGAAAGCAGCGGTGCGTCTGTGTCTCCTTCGCTGAGTAGATCCATCCCACACATACAGACACACATACACACACATATACACACACACACACACAGCGTGCTTGTCTTTTGTCTCGGCGCGGCTCCGCTCCCGCACTGAACTCAACTAAAGTCCAAGGTGAACTCAAATCGGGCCGAGAGACGAGCAAAAGGCAGGCGGCTGGGCTGAGGCTGTTACCAGGGGTCGTGGGGGGAGTTGTCCGTGCCGGAGGACAGGCTGCTCTGGCTCCCTTCCGTATCCATTCCGCTCTCCGCTGGTATATTCCCGCACTGTGAGGCGAGGAGAGGCAGTGAAGCTCCACTGCTGCTGCTGCTCCAGACTCAGGGGCGGGCAGCCGAGAGGGGAGGGGGAGGTTGGAGGGGGGGGGGGGGGGGGGGGGGCAGGAGAGGTGGGGGTGGGGTGGTTAAAAAGGAGGAGGGGTGAGCGAGGAAACACACACACACGCATACACACACATGCATGCATGCACACACGCTCAGCGATAAGCTCCGCCTCTACCTCGTTTTCCCGTAGCCTACCCCAGCCTCGGACCTCCCTCCCTCCCTCCTGCACGTTGCCTGCCTTTATTCATGCTGCCAGTGGCGCTCTCTCTGTAGTGTTTCCCCGCCGTTCTCGTCATTGGTCGATCACAGCAGTATGGCCCGTTAAAGCCTTTTGAATGTTTGGAGATCTACAGAAGATGTTCTCCATTGAAACATCATAATGGAGACAGAAAATAGCTATATATATATATATATATATATATAAGGCATAAATAAAACCATACAGGGCCAGGATGAGTTGTATGCACCCCTCCAATTACTGACTACTGCCTTATCATCATTTATTAGTAACTGATCCACATTCAAATGTTTTCTAAAGCTAGTTTACTATTGCTGATGTAAAATAATGTATTTCTGTGGTGCCAGGTGAGGTCTCAGGTGAAATGAGACATCTGTAACCAGGATACTCCTCCAACCCATTTAGCCAGACACAAGGTTACATAAAACAGGATGTGAAGTCATTCTCATAGTTTTAGATTGCATGGAGGTCAACAAGGTCATCTTGTCTGACATGGGTTATGTTATGTTATGTTATGTTATAAGAGATGCTATATTATCTGACTGTAAGTGATGATAAATGAGATGTGATGCAATGTGATCCTCTGTGGCGTAATGTGATATGATCTTATGTGATGTAATCTTATTGTAATGTGATGTGACCCTATATGATGTAATGTGATGGGATTCTATATGGGATCTTACATATGATATTGTTATATATGATGTGATGTGAGTTTTAATGCCATATGTGACCTCATATGTAATGTGATGTGGTGTTATCATATATGATGTAATGCGATGTGATGTTATCATGTGATGTTTTCTTAAATAATGTAATGTGATGTGTTATCCTATATAATGCAATGTGATGTAATGTTATCACATATGATGTAATGTCATGTGATCTTACATGTAGGATGTGATATGAGTCGTGATGCCATATTACCTAACCCTATATGATGTAATATGATGTGATCATATATTATGCAGGGCTTGACACCAACTTCTAAGGTTTGTTGCCAGGCTGGCACGTAGCCATCAGCTTTTGGTTACCAAAACAATTTTAGTCACCTTAAATTTTGAGTAATTAAGATACTATACATGTTATACATCAACTTAAAGGTATAGTGCGTGGGATTTAGTGCCATCTATTGTTCAGGTTACAGACTGCAACCAAGTATAATGTCTCCAGAGAACTATAGTGGCCAGTGTTGGGGCAATGCGTTACAAAAGTAACAGATTACAAAAGAAATGCTAATAGGATCTGGGGTAATATTATTACATTTACAATGTCTTGTAACAAGTTACAACCTGAAATAAAGTCTCAATTGTTTTTATTTTTCATTCATCCACACAGCTCCATTTCCGCTAGTGTGCCATCTGAAAAATATCCCACAAATGTGGTTGTTTCTTGTCATGTCATTACAGACTACATTATAGAAGGGTGCCAGTGATCAGCACATCTGGACACAACTTTTGTGTCCCAAGGCTGTTTGAAAGCAGCTGAGAAAAGGAGATTGGCTCCAGCGAGTTTTTTCTTTGTCCTGGTGATCATCACATCAGGGTGATGCCATCAAATGTCTGTTAGTATGTTGGATGTCTTTCCATTCTCATCCCCTTCAATGGTGGAGCAACGCCAGTCGTCCCCTTCTTTTGCATAACTCACCACGGTGCTGTTGTTGCTGACCGGCTCAATGGGAACAGGCAGGTGGTTCTTCCAGCTCCAAGGTTTGTGTTTGTCATAGTGACTCGCACATCAGTCTGTTTATTGCTAACCTCAGCAATTGTTAATTGTGTTTCATATGATAAGCCCACAAATATTCATCTATATCTCAAAATTACTAGACTTTGATCCCCTGCCTGTCTGGTGCTCCCTGTGTCCAAGGGTATCCATTTATTTAAAAAGGTCAAGACTGATTGATCTATATCATCATGCTATTATTATAAATATAAGCAGCAAGGTGGTAACCACTGTGTGTGAATGCATGAATGGATCAGACCTGCACACAACTGGATTTGAAATTGACTGTAATAAACTGGGGCTTCTGTGCTTTGATTACCTGCTCTGAAACATTAGCGTCATCCATTTATAATGCCTAGTTGTGAGTAGAACAACATCACAGACTCAGTGGAAGAGGAACCCCTTTGTAAGTGGACATAAACAGCTCATTCTAAGGTAACAAAAACACAACTGTTGTGTAATTATACACTGATGAAAACATAGTTATGAATATTATATTCTGCCAATGTATCCACCAAAATCCTACACACTGGACCTTTAATAATGAAAATGTGACATAAGCGAATGTTTAAAAGCTTTATTAACAGCTCTGAACAGTTCTTTCTAGTCTGTGCTTTATGTGATACTTTACAGAGTTTCAGTGTTAAGTGCCATTTAATTTGCTTTGCCATAGTCTATAAAACAGATGCCTGCACCCAGGTGAGTGAACAGACCAACGGTCATTCACATTGTCTGGTTATGATTCTTGCTGTAACATCATTATTTAAATATTACTACTGCAACAAATATATAAAAATATGTACAGATTTTTTGGGGTGCACATTTGCCATTGTTGGCAACCAAAGGCCAATTTCTCAAAATGGTGCCGATAGCAACCTGACAGGGGTTACTGCCAAGCCCTGTGATGTGTTGTGATCTTATATGATGTCATGTGATTGGGTAATGAAATGTGATATGATATGGATCTTATGGATGTGACATGAGATGTTATAGTATGTGACAGCATGTGTATTCATTTATTTTTTGGTCAGTCAAATTCTCATTGCGCCCTTGGCCCAGGGGCATTGTAGTGGGGGGAAAAGTGGAACTGAATACTCAGGGCCTCAATGGGAGGGGGGGGCTCGAAAAGCCTGGAATGAAAAGTCTGATTTTGTTTGTCATTTTTTATTTCTGAGTAATTAGTGCCATGACGAAATTAAAATTGGCTGAATAATCTGGTTTAAGGTCTGAACTTGACATAAAAAAGTAGTGGAAGCTCTCTGAGGCTCCTCTCACCCCTTAAAGGTGCAAAATGGTTGAGACAACCCCTCCACTTGGATTCACCTCTAAATGCAGCTAAACCAAGTGAGCTACTGCTCATGCTGCTGAGGCAGCAATGTGCACTGTCATGTCTTTCCACAAGAATGAGAAATAAGGGTTCCAAAAAAGAAAAGAGAAAAGAAAGAGATGAAAGGGGGGGGGGGGGGGGGGTCACAGAGACTGCTACGCCCCTGCCTTGGCCGGATCCAACTGCAATCCACCACATTTTAAATCATTTTTTAACTGGAACTGTTTTTTTGTCACCTCCTGGACAAATTTGCATCATCAAAGTCTTGCACCACCCTACTGCAACCCCCCTTTTTGATTTCCTCTCCATCCTCCATCAATCATCCTTGCCTGCACCAACCCTCAGCCCACCTGTTCCTGCCGCCCAGCTCTCATCCTAATCCATTACATCCAAAACAGCTGTGATCGTCACCATTCTACATCCTCCATCCAAATCTCTCAATCATAGTTCAACCCTTGTCTAAACCTGATCTTATCCACTCCCTCTCTCTTTCACCCCATGTGACAGGCCGTCCTAACCAGCTAAGTGGCAGATTAGCAGCATTACCTCTAAGTCAGCCACTCTCTCAGCCAGGGCAAGCTTGGTCAGCTTAGCAGTTTCGTCACATGCCTCAGCTGCTCTAACAAAAGTGAAACAAGTGCTCACACGGTTATGTGAAATGCAATTGCTCAACTCATCAGATTGTGACCTAGACACACAGAGAATCTCACAACATAAACATAATGATGTCTAAAACTATCTCTCGGGGGGTGTCAAGATCAATGATGTATCAAGTTTGGATTTAGAGTTTCCTCTAGTTTGGTTAGTGGAACACGATTATAGTGGCACAGAATATCCTTAAAAATCAATTGCTTGTGTGTGTGAAACAAATTCGAAGTCAGACTGAATCAGAGACAGCAACGAGCCCCCCCTTCAAAACATTTTAATGCACCTGACCTGACTAAAAGTTTTTGGTAATGACGAGTTATCGTTCCTAGCACCACATGATGATCTGTGCATGTGCTGGTTCTGAGACAGGCCGCAGGGTGTTTGTGTGTGTGTATGGCAGTGGGGGAAGTCAGCGAGGGGAGGCAGATCAGGGGGAGGGTGTGACTGTGGCCTGGTGGACCATAGCGAGAGAACAGTATGTAGGACAAGGCCTTGCACTAGCTAACCTATCCTGGCTAGAGCCATGGTTGGGCGTGCTGAATTTCTGCATGCATGATCAATGGCACTGAATAAAAAAGAGAGGAGAAAGACAGCGGCATGGGGGAGGGGGAGGAACAAGTTAGAGCGATTTGAAAAGATACAAGTAGAATAAAGCAAAAACACTTGGCTTTGTTTTAAATTATTATACAAAAGTACATCAATTTTGTCAGTGAAGAAGACAGTGAGGAGACAACAGTGTCTAGCTTTTGAGCAACTTTAGCTAACTTATTTCAGGGACTTAAAGGTACAGTTCACCCCAAAATTAAAAATACATATTTTTCCTCGCACATGTAGTGTTGTTTATCAGTCTAGATTGTTTTGGTGTGAGTTGCTGAGTTTTGGAGATATCAACTGTAGAGATGTCTGCCTTCTCTTGAACATAATGGGACTAGATGGCACTTGGCATGTGGTGCTCAGAGCACCAAAAAAAAGATACATTTAAAAAACTCAACAGTATTCAACAGACCTTTGTGTCAGCAGTTTCATATAGGACCTATTTTCTTTTTACTAAACTGC